TGTGTATGGTTTTATGGTTGACTTATTGTATTGGATAGGCAATTATGGAGCTCATACTTGAGAAGGCTGATTCTCCCTCAACAGTCATTAGTTACCTGCTGCTCTTTGTTAAGGGGTTGGACCCCCTGGAATTTCCCCCTTCTGCCTTAGTAAATCTGTTGATGTTGCTACTATTCACGTCTTGTTTAGGCAGCCATTTCTAGGAGACACAGTCTCAGAGCAGACTTCCCAGTTCTCAGGTTCTTACAACCTTTCTGCCCCCTCTCCTGAGATGTCCCTGAGCCTTAGGTGCAAGAGTTGTGTTGCAGATGTACTCATTGGGTCTGGATTCCCCACAGTCATTGGAAATGATTCTTCTTGGAGTTCTTGAATTCATAAATGCAGAGGTGTGAGGAAAGGGGGCCTAGACACCTGTGGAAGCTTAAACCTAAGCAGCACACTGATGTTGCAGGCAAAGTCCTTGACAATCCAGTTGTGGAGATTCATGAGGGTTCTTTAACCTTATGGAGACTTCAAAGTGTTAGTGAATGAATATTGACAAATATAAGATAAATGTAAATACAACTTGCCTGTTCTCTAGGGGATGCATGGATGTTGTAAATTTGTTACTCTGGTAAGAGAAGTAAAGCTTCAGGGAAGCCAGTAGCAAACAATGAAGTAAATGTAGGTTGCCCTATTGCTGTGTTGCCCCTACTTTTCTTTTTGGTGCCGAGGTTTGGATATAGGATCTCACAGCATGCTAAGCAAGTGCTCTACCACAGAGATGCATCTTCTCTCTGTTCTGTTTGTTTCTTTGTCTGTTTTCCATGCTTGGGATTGAACCCCAGGATTTGTGCATTCTAGGCAATCACTCTACCATTGAGCTACAGCCCCAGCCCCTGTTCTAAGTCTAAGAGGAGAACGTTGTATGTTGTATGCAAACTGAAGAAGGAGACCAGAGACCAGAGCTTAGGAAAGGAAAAATAACTAACTTAGTTGTTGTACTCAAGTGGTAAAGAAGGAAACTGGAGAAATGATTACCTAGGGCTGGGAAGAGTTAGTTTCATGAAGAGCAAAAAAGAACTTTGATAAGAAAAGTAATTCCAATGAGAGCTTTTGAGTTAATGTAGTAAATGTGTGGATATAACAGAATTATCTAGGATAGTGAACCCTGGAGTAAAGATACTATACAGTCAAATGGGGGTGTTTGGTGGTGACACTGCATAGTTTAGACAGATAAATTCTTACAAAAAGTCTCTATTTAATTTTGTTTTGTTTTGTCACTTTAACAAACCAGCTGAGGAAACAAAAGTGAAAGATTTATTTTGACTTACAGTTTCAAAGATTTCAGTCCAAGCTTACTAGGTCCCATTGGTCTGGGCTTATGGTGAAGGAGGTTGGTAGAACAGAAGGGTGTTGTGGAGTAAAACCGCACGTTGTGTGGTGGCCAGGAACATGGGGAAAGACCAGAGAGAAGACACACTTACAGTAACCTACTTCCTCCAGCCACCCACACTTCCTGGTTCCTGGAACCACTTCCCAATAATGCTACCTAACTCTGAACTCATCAGTGGTTTCACCCATTAAGTCAAAGTGCTACAACACACTTTCCAAGATCCTGCTGTTTTGGGAACCAGTCCTTCAATACACATCTAACCCTAAAAGCCTCATTAAAGGTTTGTTCATACCCTTTTCTTCCAATACCCTTCCACATTCACCCAGCCCTCTGAGAAACTCAAGGATCCTGCCATACCCCAGGTATCTGCAGCTATCTCTGTCATTTAAAATAGACACCATGGCCACAGAAAGTAAGTCATGTCTGTTGGGGTGTCTCTGGCCATCCAAGAGCAGAATGGCCTTCTTCTTCTTCTGTAGTCTTTAAGTAGAACATGGTGACCATGGGAGAGGAGAGACATTGTGGCAGCAAGATTGTTGACATCTTCAATCAGCCTGTTGAGCAAGCACTCTGCAATGTTTGCTCTGCCAGATGATAGCTGAGAAACTGTTGAGAACCATAAAGAAAACCTCCTCTCATGAACCAAATGGCCAAATTAGTTTCTTCATAACTGGTCAGTCTCCACCATGATGCTGTCCTGGGAAGTTTCCCACTAAAACCTGGAAGAGTTAAAACATTTCTCTCCTCATAAGAACTTCTCAGCTCCCGCTTCTGCTCCATCACTGTGAAAGCGTTCACGCTATGTCCTGCTGTAACCTAACTGCCTGGCCTCATGACAGTCTTTTCTGGGCTGCCCCTGCCTGCTGGACCTTATCACTTCCTGCCCTTGTCAGTCATACTTTGAAAATTGTTTTTCACAACAAATGTCCACTTACACCTTGCCTTTTATATGAAGTTAGGTAGTCCCCAGTGTCTTGGGTGGATGGGTACTCATTCTCCATTTTTCTGTCATTGTGTATACTGGCCGTCACTCCTCTTTAGCGGCTCCTTGAAATACAACGCTTTTTTAGCCGTCGCCTTCTCCTCCTCCCTCCCTTCCTTCCTTCTATCTGTCTTTCTTTCTCTTGTGTGTCTGTTGCTCTGTACTTGACCTGTCAAATCCCTACAGTTTTAGTAATGAATTACTTTATATAGGTATATATAATGTGTATACATGTGTGTATATATGTATGCTATTGTGTCGTAGATGGAAGTTTCACAGACTGCTTCCATTCATTTCATTTATGGAATAAATATGAAACTGCATAGTCTTTGGAAGTTTTCTAGGGCATCTATCACTACAGCTTTGGTCTTCAGTGTCTCCAAAGGTCTGTGGGTAAAGGCCTGCTTTCCAGTTTGCATGGTGCTGGAGCTTTTAAGAAGTGGAATCTGGAGGCAGGTCTTGAGGTTATTGGAGCAAAGGCCTGGGTGGAGCTAAGGTGACCCAGCTGTGATGGAGCTAAGGTGACCCAGCCTCCTTCCTTTACTTCCCCTCCCAGCTGTGATATGAGCTGTTTTGCTTCCACCATGATGCAGGGCCAACTGATCAAAAACCATAGGTAATAAATCTGAGGCCAAATGCATCATTTCTTTTTATAATTTGATGATCTTAGTTATTCATGGTAACAGAAAGCCAATGAACACATGTACATACTATTAAATATCAGATACAGATACATTCTAATAAAACTGTGGTTGGAAGGTTCCCTTTATACTGATTAAAATCATCTCTCAACTAATTTGGAAAGCTAAAGTGTTCTGTAACCTTATAAAGGTTTCAAGGCCTGAACACTCACATTAGGAGATTCCCTTTCACATAAGTTGTCTTTTTATTAGTTTATTATGAAGAGTCTTGCGGGTATATATATATATGTATGTATATATGTACGTGTATATATATATAGCATGTTTTATATTTGTATCCATATTTATCATTCATTCATTCATTCACTTGTGCATGTATGTGGGCACACACATGCCATGGTACATGTGTGGGTTCATTCATTCATTCATTGTACATGTATGTGGGCACACACATGCCATGGTGCATGTGTGGACGTCAGAGGAGACCTTGTGGGAATCATTTATTTCCTTTCATTGTGTGGTGGCTTCTAAGATTGAATGCAGCTTTCAGTATTGAAGGCAAGCACCTTTACCCTGAGAGTCATCTTAGCAGCCCCTGAAGATATGTTTTAAAGAAAGTGCTTGTTACTTGTCAAACTCACTTTTAAGTCAGCTTTACTTTTGTGTATGTGAGAATCTGTGTGCCTGTCTTCACCCCTCAGGGCTTGGCTGGAGCACCTGTGGAGGAAAGTCCTCCTCAAGCCATCCTCCATCTTGTCTCAAGCCCCCGGAGACCTGCCTGACTTCACCCAGTGCTGGCTGAACAGCTAGTTTTCCAGACTGGCAAAGTGCCATGTCTTGGTTTTGTCATTTTTTTAGATTCCCAACGCCTGTCTTTGGGAAAGCACACATCTGTACACACTGTTGAGCAAGCTTGGGAAGGTACACATCTGTGCACACTGTTGAACATGCTTGGGAAGGTACACATCTGTACACACTGTGTTGAACACGTTTGGGAAGGCACACATCTTTACACACTGTGTTGAACACGTTTGGGAAGGTACATATCTGTACACACTGTTGAACATGCTTGGGAAGGTACCCATCTGTATACACTGTGTTGAACACACTTGGGAAGGTACACATCTGTACACACTGTGTTGAACACGTTTGGTAAGGTACACATCTGTACACACTGTGTTGAACACGTTTGGGAAGGCACACATCTGTACACACTGTGTTGAACACGCTTGGGAAGGCACACATCTGTACATACTGTGTTGAACACGCTTGGGAAGGCACACATCTGTACAAATTGTGCTGAACCCAGTTACTTTTCCATCTTGATTCTCTTGGCTTCTTCTCTTGACTGCTGCAGATTCCTTGAAATGCAACTTGGTATTTGATGAAATTTTATTTTGCTAGATCTACAGAGGAAAAGTATTCCACAAGCCACAGGGTTAGTGATCTGCAGTTTCCTTGGTGTCGCCACAGCTTACATAAAAAGTTTCACTTCACATGCACACTCTATGACAGCAGACACATAGACAGTATTGACCTTTCTGTGCTTTGGAATCCTAATGAGGGCAGGATCTGTCTTGTACATCTGCAAGCCTGCTAATTAATGGAAAAGTGAACTTTCTCTTAGCAACAGTATTTTTGAATTAAAGTCAAAATCTAGGTTGAATTCTTAATATTTTGAAATTCAGTAAGTAAATGTTACTTAACCCAGTGATAGGACCATATAAAATATGTTATTAGAGTTATGACCATAATGTTGAGTTTCAAGGTAGTGAACTAGATAAAATTAGTTAAAATTCCCATCAAGTTTTAGTACTCTTTGCCAAAACTGAGCATTTTAATATATAATAACCAGGCAACTGATTCCTTTGGGAACTGATAGACTCTTCTGAGATCATCTGGTTTAACGATTTAAAATAAACAAACTGGGGTGAGGAACAATCAGTATATGTTAACTTTTGCTCAGTTAGAAAATATGAAAAGAGGCCTTTTTCTTTTTCAGCCTTGCCTTACACCCAGATAAAACTCTGATTGCAACTGGCCAAGTTGGGAAGGAGCCATATATATGCATCTGGGATTCCTATAGTGTCCAGACTGTGTCTATTCTCAAAGATGTCCATACACATGGAGTTGCGTGCCTGGCTTTTGACTCGGACGGACAGGTGCGTACCTTTCTCCATTTATGTTTTCTTTAATAAGTCCTTAAATTTACCTAAAATTATAATATAAAAAGCTACCAGCTTTTGCTGTTTCCCCTTAGCAGCATCCTAGAATTCCTCACTGCTTGGCCCCTTTTAAGCTCATGGTATTATTACACCCTCAGAATAAGCTCCAGTTTTGGTTTTCCTATTCCCACTCAACTATTAGTGAAAAAGCTCTGTAAGGGAACTCATAAGGTGAGGTCCACCAGGGCTCAGTAGCCCTGTTTTGTCCCACTGTCAGCATCCTATCTGGGTAAGGACTACTCCAAGCCTTTTGCACAGAGCTCAAACCCTACACAAATACTGTGCCTTTTGCTCTCAGGTTTTCACGTTGCCTCCTAATGACCCACTCGAAAGACTCTGTTCGATTCTACCTTGACGTCACTTTTTATTCTTCCGTCTTCCCTCCCCAGCTCCCTTCTAACTCCAGCAGTCACCCATTCCTGTGTGTCGATTCTTTCCTTTAGGTAACACCAACACAAGTCCCACCATGCCTCCATTTTCAGGCACAGCTCTTTAAATTCCAAGTCACAGCCATGCTTAATATAATCTAAACATTGTCTTAACTAATATTTTCATAATTGTTATTTGTTTGATGCATATTACCGTTTTGTCTACATGTGTGTTTGTGCGTCACATTCGTGTCTGGGATTCAGAAGGGCATCAGATCCCCTGGAACTGGAGTCACAGATGGTTATGGACCACTACATGACATAGGTACTGGGAAACAACCTAGGTCCTCTGCAAGAGCAGCAAGAACTCTGAGCTACTGAGCTATCTCTCCAGCTTCATCTTGACCTACTTTGAATCATTTTACAGTAATTAACGTTGTGGTATCTTCCACTGTTGTGAGAGCATTGGTCATTTTTCTTCCTAGAACTAAAATTGATATGAATGGCTAAATAAGAGTTAGAATGCATATGGCTATATAAACATAGGTGTAGGCTGATGTGTACACTCTTATGGATATCCTCTCATTTTTCTCTATCTGAGAAAATATCTATACCAAATTTTGTTATAAGTATCACAAAAATGCTATGCAATAGAGAAACCCAGCTTTAACTATGATTTCTTTATCCATTTTATTTACCCTTCTTTCATTTTAATCATCCATTTCCTTTTGGAGTCTTGCCTATTTTTCTTGAGGTTCTATTTTGACAGGTGGGGGCTGGATGGACTGTGTGGTTTTTAAATGCCAGTTAAGAAAAGTAACCTATTTACCCTGATGGGTTTTGTGGCTTGATGATGCTTTTTCCTTCATATCTGCTGAATTCTCTGGGCAAAGTTCACTGAAATCCAATAATAATGAGAAAATGACAAATTCCTCATTACTTATAATTGACAAAGACAATAGAAGCTCTTTTTAGGTAGCTGTGGGGCATGTCACTGTAAATGAAGAAAATAGATTTCTTTTGACATTTTTTTAACTCAGGAAAAATGAGTTTCACTGCTAGTGTTTGTTAACTGATTTTTCTATTAAAAATAATCTGAATAAAATTTACACATTCTAATTTTCTTATATTGATAAAAATGTTTTTTAATTTCTCAAATTATGTTTTATAATTTCTTTTTAAATTAATTTGTTTTTATTTTATGCACATTGGCATTTTGCCTGCATGTATGTCTGTGTGAGGGTGTTGGATCCCCTGGAACTGGAGTTACAGACAGTTGTGAGCAGCTGGGAATTGAACCTGGATTGTCTGGAAGAGTACCTAGTGTTTTTAACCATTGAGCCATATCTCCAGCCCTGTTTTATAATTTCTATTGTTACTACTCAAAATGAAAATTATGACAAAGATCTTTATTAAGGAAGATTCTAAAACCTCCAACTATTCTTTTTATATAGAACATTCCTATGGAAGCCATCTTTAGTGAAGACACTTGAAGAAACCCTGTTATAGCAACAAATGTACATTTGGCCATATGAGGCTCTCTGTCCTGCCATGCACACCATATGAGTATATACTTAGGCAGACACATTCTTTCTAAGGTGGTTAATGCTGTCATCTTGGCAGGATCTAGAAGCAGCCAGGAGACAGTCTTGGGGCATGCCTGTGGGGGATTATCTAGATCTGGTTAACTGGGATGGGAAGACCTACCTTACCTATGGGGGGCACCATTCCATAGACTAGGGTCCTGGACTGAATAAGAAGGAATCCTTCCCTGCCAAAGGACAGATGCTTCCTTCTCTAAGTTGCTTTTGTCAAGTGCTTTCTCAAGGCAGAGAGACAAGTAACTAAGATCGAAAACTGGTGCTGAGAAGTCAGGCGATTGCTGTGATGGTCCTGACCAAGTGGTTTGGGAGTATTTGGAACTGGTTTGTGGGAGGAATATAGAAGAGTTTGGAACGTGGTACTAGAAAAACCCCTGAGTGTTGTAAGCAGAGCTTAGTGTGTCACTACGGTTGGTGCATGGGATACAAAACTGCTAAGAGAGGCGTGGACAGTGGAGCTTTGGCTCTCAGGGCTTCAGACAGGAACAAGAGTTCATTTTTGGTTTTTGTTTTTGTTTTTGTTTTGTTTCAGGTTTTCCAAGACAGTGTTTCTCTGTGTGGCCCTGGCTGCCCTGGAACTTGCTTTGTAGAACTTGAACTCAGAGATCCTCCTGCGTCTGCCTCATGAATGCTGGAATTAAAGACATGCACCACCACCACCTGGCCAGGAACAATAATTCTATTGGAAACTAGACTAGAGCCATTTGTATGATACTCTAGCAACGAATCTAGCTGCACCTACTTGTGTCCTGACCTTGAGTGAAGCTGAATGCTGGAGTAATGAGCAACTTATCTGATAGAGCAGATTCCAACGCAGAATTGCATCCAAGCTGTGATTTGATTATTGCTCACCCCTCTTATCCCAGTCAGTGAAAAGAGGAACAAATGAATAGAAATAATAAAAATGTGCAGTTTGGATTCCAGTGCCTGGGGATTGCCTGGGGACTGCCACAGAGCTTCCCATCCTGGTGGGAGCCAAGCACCCCAGATCCCAGGTCTTCTCTTCCACCAACAAGACCAGGGGACCAGCAGCTTCAGGTAAACAAAGCCCAGCATCCAGGCCTGCCTTCCAGTGCCTGGGGACTGCCTACTGACTGCCACAGAGCCTCCCATCCTGACAAGAGCCAAGCACCTCAGATCCCAGGTCTTCTCTTCCACCAAAGGGACTAGGGGACCAGGTGGGAGAATATGCATCCCAGATTCCTGGGCTTCTTGTCCACTCACGGGACCAGGATTAGGACCAGGAAGAGAAGAACTACCAGAGTATTGGACTTGTTTGCACCCACCGAAAGGGAACTCTGGTCCCTTAACCACCAGACCAGTAAGGGGCTCTTTCTGCACCCACTAGAAGAAGAGATGGGAAAGAGACAATACAAAAACACACTCAGCAACAGAAAAGCAAATATGACACCACAAGGTTCTAGAGATTCCACACCAGCAAGACTCCAACATTCCAATGTAAATGAAGCAGAAGAGAATGAATGGCCTTAAAAACAACTTCATGAAAACGATAGAGGCCCTAAAAGAGCATATAGGAAAATCCCTCACAGAAATGGAAGAAAAAACAAACCAAAAAATGCAAGAAATGGAAGAAAAAAAAACCAAAAAATTCATAAAATGCAACAAATGAACGAAAAGATAAACCAAAACTTGCAAGAAACAATTCAAACAATGCAAGGATTGAAAACTGAAATAGAGACAATAAAAAAAAAACACAATCTGAAGGAAGGCTGGAAATAGAAAAGCTGGGCAAATGGTCAGGCACTACAGATACAAGCCTTACCAACAGAATACAAGAGATGGAAGAGAGAATCTCAGGTGTTGAAGATACCCTAGGAGAAATTGATTTATCAACCAAAGAAAATCATAAGTACAACAAATCCCGAACACAAAACATTCAGGAAATATGGGACACCATGAAAAGACCAAACCTAAGAATAATAGGTATAGAAGAGGGGAAGAAACCCACCTCAAAGGGGTACAAAACATATTCAACAAAATCATAGAAGAAAACTTTCCCAACCTAAAGAAAGACATGCCAATGAAGGTACAAGAAGCTTACAGAACACCAAATAGAGTGAACCACAAAAAAAGTCCCCTTCCATTCCATGACAAAACTAGATTCAAGCAATATATATCCACCAACCCAGCCCTACAGAAAGCTCTGGAACCAAAACTCCAACCCAAGGAAAATAACTCCAACCAGAAAAACATAGGCATTAGATAATCCCACTTTACCAAGAGCCAAAAGAAAAATGGGGTGAAATTCCACACATAATTCTGCCAACAACAACCATTCGAAATCAAAGAAGAATGAGCAATTAATATCATTAATTAATTAATATCATTAATATCCCTCAATATTAATAGCCTTAACTCACCCATAAAAAGACACAGGCCAACATAATGGATTAGAAGACAGAACCCATCCTTCTGCTGCATACAAGAAACACACCTCACCCTCAAAGACAGACATTACCTCAAAGTTAAAGGTTGGGAAAAGATTTTCCAATCAAATGGACCCAAGAAACAAGCGGAGGTAGCAATCCTAATATCTAACAAATAAGACTTTAAAATAAAATCAATCATACTCACTACAGGAGAAATCCACCAAGATGAAGTTTCAATTCTGAACATCTATGCCCCAAATACAAAGGCATCCACGTTTGTAAAAGAAACATTCCTAAAACTCAAATCACATATAAAGCCCCACACACTTATAGTGGGAGACTTCAACACCCCACTCTCACCACTAGACAGGAATACCAGAAAGAAACTCAACAAAGAAGCAAAGGGTCTAATAGAAGTTATGACCCAATTGGAATTAACAGATATCTCTAGAATATTCCATCCTAATAAAAAAGAATATACCTTCTTCTCAGTACCACATGGAACCTTCTCAAAAATCGACTACATACTTGGCAACATATCAAACCTCAACAGGTACAAAAAAATGGAATAACTCCAT